ATCGAAGGTGGAAATAAATGAGGATAATTGGTAGCCTCTGGTGACAATTGCAGGTACTTGGTGTACGTTATGGTTAACAATCTCCCTGAGGACTTCAAGAAACCTTTAAATATGTTTAATTTCTCAGAGTATTGTTCAAAGCCGTTTGTACACTCGACAAAGCGTTTAGGGCCGTGTGTTTTTATAAGAAATTATCACTGAAGGATAAAGTTTATTAAGGCATTTTTTAAATAACCAGCAAGTTACAGCACAGTAATTCATTTGTAAAAAAACACAATGATTTGGGATTCAGTGCGACTGAGTTTGCTTACCGCGTTGGTTATGGAAAGTAGTGTCACGTGGCCGGATTGCGCCGGACTGTGCTGGACAATGCAGAACTGTGCCGTAACGTGGAGGACTGAGCTGTCAGGTACGAACTTCATTTGCATTTCACCTCGATTCCGCAAGTCAAGATTGTGCTACAGAACCTACTCAGATCTTTTCTGCAACAACCCTTCCATTTTGCGATGCGCTCAGCCGTTGGTGTGACAACCCTGATAGAAAATTAGTGCAAAAACTGCGATTTACTTAACGACACCGACAGACTTTTTCAGTCGGTGATACGATCACTAATGAACTGGAAAATACGAGGAAGGAAGCTCCCGTGGCCTTATTTAAGGCATTATCTCAGCATTTTCCTGGACGGACTGAGGAAAACTGCAGAAAGACTAGGTCTGGGTCGAGATGAACCAGAAACTCCTGAATACGAAGCAGGAATCTAACCACTCGACTATGACGTTCTGCCAAAAGTTTATAACCACTGTTGTTACTTACTGAATAATAGAAAACTTGACCTTTGTTTTTAGACTTTTGGGTTGAAAATAAGTTAACATGTAGGCCAGATGTAAAAGTAGTGTCTTAAAAGAATGCAGGACAAAATCAGAATATAGACTAATAAATCGAACGAAAATGTGTCAAATGACTTAAAAATAAAAACTTCATTCACAAATAAGTCAAGAGGAGACATGCTCAGGACACGCGAGGCACGTAAAGGTACGTACACCATTCGGCAACAGGAAGACACAGTTGCACTGTTTCTGTCAGAGACGTTGGTGTGCGTTCCTTTGTACCCTGTGTGCTAACCTGCGGGTATGATCGAATTTCGACCGCGTAAATTGTTTGGCCAAATCCGAATCTGCTGCATTTTCGTTTCGATACAAATCTGGCAACTGACAAATTTGTGTCGTTTTGTGGACGCACGACAGGAAGATTTTTATCTGCATAAAAGATCCGTTTACTGCATTGAGCACAGGTGGTTTTTAATCCAGTATCTTTCCCACCAAGTCTAAATTTTCAATTCATTAAATTCAATACATATGAATTGAAAATAAAATCCACATTCCGTATAAAACTTCCCCTGTGTGTGTACGACTATACGTCGATATTTAGCCAGATAACTTTCACTGCTTTCTAAAACAGATTGTCTCCTGTGTGACCACAAAGGAACAAGTGTTGGCTGTCAACTACATTGATATTTCAGTTCAGTGTCATTTACTGTAGTAATTCGCATTACAAAAAATAATTAATAACTAATAACTGATACGACTTGAGAACTGCTGGTAGCATGTGAGTTGTTAACCGTGGGAATCATGAGGCTGCAGTCACTTCTGAAAAGCTGTGAACCATTTCAGACGTTATCGATCGAGTGTGGTACAACTCTTTATTAACGACACGCCATTAATGGCTAGTCTACAGTATAATGACGCCGTTTAACGTTGTCTTGAGCACTAAAACACAGAAGAGAACCATCTTTGTAATCACCGCCGTGAGAACTTAAATTCTTACAAGTTCGTCGTCACTAAAAACCGAAATTGAGCTCTAGAATGGGGGGGAGGGGAGGAAAGGGGAGACAATCCACTACACTCCCAGTTCAAGACGTTACAACAGACGAACGTCGACATTGGCCAGCTGTTGCTGAGAAGAGAGCTCGTTCCAACAAACCCTGTGGCGGAGCTCCTAAATAACGCGCAGCATTAAAGAAGACAGCAGTTTTCATGAATATATTTATTTCCTCTCTATAAATTGGCTTGTCTCGCCATGGTCAGGGGTCACGGTGGTCTAGCGGTTAGAACGCTGGCCTTGTAATCCTGGGGTCTCGGGTTCGATTCCCGGAGGTGCCCGAATTTATAACTTGTGTTGGACAAGGCCGTGGTCTAGGCAACACGGAGTTTTCCTCCGGGGGCTTCCCCGGTTTCTCCGTGGCATCCCAACAATTACTCCATTCACACACAGAAAAAGGCAATGGCAAACCACTTCTGGATCATATGCCAAGAACGTATATGAACAGGTCCCAGTCCGAGAAAAGGATGGAAGGATCCTGTTCATATGGACCTGTCGTCAGACAGAACACTAAATAATAATAACACCAACGCAACATTGAATTAACCAATGTATATTTAGTAAATAATACGCTATTTTTAACAATTAAAAGTATGCACGAATTATTTGTTCAATCGTTATCAAAATAATTATCCACAGGATCTTTTCCTAACTGCAGTTCATGACATAATGCAACCGACTAATCTTTCCAGTAGATACGGCTTAGGGTGGATTGATTTCCCGGACTACAGTCAGTAGGCTCTTCTGATATGCTGAAACTCCGACATGTTTCTTCTTACAATTTCTACGACTTGTAATTTCGAACTGATCAAACGCACGCCGAGAGACCCTTTGTTCCAAAATGCACTGAGACTGGCTGTGCCCCCCTCTCCACAATTTCCCTCTTTCACAAGGAAAGGCATTTGAATTTCCAACTCTGGTTGGTCACCTCCCCTTTGTTTAGACAAACTTCGTTCTTCCCAGAGGCAAGGAAGAAGCTGGACTTAGGCCTAAGAACCTTTGCTCCAAATCCAGGCCACTTTTCCACATATATCATGGCTGCCACTTTAAATTGAGTTGTTCACAGAAGTTTCTCCTAAAAAAATTCCTAGACTTTCCCTTTTGTAACATAAAGCACCTGTTCACCTGACTGAATTAAATGTAGGTGCCCTCGCCCTAGGCACTTGTGGGCTGATTTGATATGGTACCAGCTCAGGGCTCTTCTGTTTCCTCGTAAAATTACTTAATTTTATTAATCCAGAAGTTAGTTCACATAAAGTGGTGAAATTTTACAAATATATCCACTTTTTACAAACAGAGGATAAATTATACTACCCACTTAAATTATGTGATGACAAGAAAACCTTCATAAATATTATGACCTAGACGTAGATGGGAGGATAATCTCAGGCGGGATCTGTGGGAGATAGGAGTTAAAGGAGACTGGTTGTTGGTGGCCCAGGACAGGGTCCAGTGGAGGGCTTTGGTTAGTTCGGTGATGAACATTCGGGTTCCGTAAGCCATTTGGTTAGTAAGTAACAATATTTTACTTTTGATTTTATCAAAATTTGAAGCATTAGGAGAAGGAAATGACACAATTCCGATGCAAGGACTTTGATCATACTTTCAAACTAGATGATGAAGATGATCTTCTGAGTTTTGGCACCATGTTTTCTAATAGACATTTACCAGCATTTCACCGATCCTTACCGACTCCATCAGGGCGATGAGTGCCTGATG